TTTAGTGTTGGGGGAGGGAGTGATTCAGTGTTGGGGGAGGGAGTGATTCAGTGTTGGGGGGAGGGGAGCGATTCAGTGTTGGGGGAGGGGAGTGATTCAGTGTTGGGGGGAGGGGAGCGATTCAGTGTTGGGGGGGAGTGACCCTCCCCCCAACACTGAATCGCTCCCCTCCCCCTAACACTGAATCGCTTTCCTCTCCCCAACACTGAAAAGCGATTCAGTGTTGGGGGAGGGAGCGATTCAGTGTTGGGGGNACTACTCTGTCTGTTCGCGGCGCTCGCTCACTCTATCTCCTCTCTCGTCTCTCTCGCGTCGCTCGCTCCGCTCTCTCTCTCCGTCTCTCTCTCCTCTTTCTTTCTCTCTTTCTCCTTTCTCTCTCGCTCTGTCTGTTTAGTGCGCTCTCTTCCTGTATTTCTCTATATATATCTGCCCCCCGACTCTCTCGTCTTCTCTCCAGCTTCCCCCTCTCTTTCCTTTCCCTCTTCTCTCTATTTCGGCTTCTGCCCCCCTCTCTCTGCGTCTATCGCTGTCACTCTCTCTCTCGTCTCTCTCCCCTCTCTGCTCACCTGTCATGGAACATGCGCACGCTGCGCACACGCGCTCCAAATTTTAACACGGTCAGCCGCTAACGAACCGTAATACGTGCCCGATGCTACCCGCCCCAAACGACTGAAATCACTCCCTCCCCCAACACTGAATCACTCCCCTCCCCCCCAACAGCTGAATCACTCCCCTCCCCCAACACTGAGACACTTCGCCTCTCCCCCGAACGGGACTGTGAAATCACTCCCCTCCCCCCAACACCGAATCACGCCCTTTCCGCCAATCACTGGAATCACTCCCCTCGCCCGCAACACTGAATCACTATTCCCTCCCGCCAACACTAGAATCACTCCCTCCCACAACACATGATCACTCCTCCCCCCAACACTGGAATCACTTCCCTCGACCCCAACACTGCATCACTCGCTCGCCCCAACACTGAATCACTGCCTTCCCCCAACCAACTGAATCACTCACCTTCCAGCCAACACTGAATCGCATCCCCTCCGCCCAACACTGAATCACTCCTCCCCAACATGAATGCCTCCCCTCCCCCCAACACTGATCACTCCCTTACCAGCCCAACACTGATCACTCCCTCATCCCCAACACTGAATCACTCCCTTCCCCCAAAACAATTGAATTCAACTCCCGGGTCTCCCAACATAACTGAATCACTCCTCCCCCAACACTGAACACCGCTCCCACTAACGGCGCCACACTCGAATCACTCGCCTCGCCCCAACATCTGAACAGCTCCCTAGCCCCCACACTGAATCACTCCCCTCCCCCCAACTACTGATGCACTCCATTTCCCGCCAACACTGAATCACTGCCCCTAGCCCCAGACACTGAAATTCAGGCTCGCGGCTCAACCCTGCAACAACTGAATCACATCCCTACCCCCGAACACTGAATCACTCCCTCCTCCCAACACGAATCGCTACCCAGCTCCCCCCAACACGAATCGCTCGCCCACTCGCCCCAACACTGATTCCACTCCTTCCCCCAACACTGAATCGCTCCGGCTCCCCCCAACACTGAATCACTAGCCCCTCCCCCAACCACTGAATCACTCCCCAACCGCCGAACAAGTGAATCACTCCCTTCCCCAACACTTGAATCACTCTCCTCCCGCCCCAACACGTGGATCACATCCCTCCCCAACACTGATATCACTTGCCCATTCCCCACCCAACACTGATCACTGCGCCCTCACCCGCAACACTGAATCGCTCTCACCTCCGCCCCATCACTTGATCACTCCCTCCCTCAAACACTGAATCGCTCCGCTTCGCCCAACCTGAATCGCTTTTTACCCCTCCCCCAACACTTGAATCGCTCCCTCCCCCCAACACTGGAATCGCAGAGGGAGAGAGAGAGAGAGAGAGAGAGTGTGTGTGGGAGAGAGAGAGACAAGTAGAGTAAGCGATAGAGAGCGATATAGAAAGAAATAGAAAGCGAGAGGGGATAGAGAGAGAGTGAGTGAGCGAGAGAGAGGGAGAGCTAAATTGCTAAGCGCTAAATTGCCAAGCGCTAAATTGCTAAGCGCTAAATTGCTAAGCGTTAAATTGCTAAGCGCGCGAGAGAGAATATTGCGCGCGATATTGATCTGTCATTTGTCACACCTGCAGGATGTGACAATAACCNCAGCGCGTTGGGCCCCCAAGTGCCAGAAATATGACAGTATTATGACCACACTAACAGAAATGATGAGAAGAATAAACACTCCCACTGAACTAAGTTCAACAAGTAACTAGGAGAGCCAGTAGCACAATCTTTGAGATCGGGCGACGATACGGTTGCCCTTGGTTTTACACTTTGGCTGATCTGAAGAGGACGTCTCTGCCCTATTCACATCTATCAACGACGCCAAGCGGCCATAGTCTCTTGGGGGCTGTTTTTCGTTCCACCACCAGCACTAAATCACCATATCTTGATGTATCCTGCTTGCGACAATCACTTGCTTCTTACGCTCGCCAGCTCTGGGCAGGTATTCTTTCACCCACTTGCGCCAGAACTGATCCGCGAGATTGCTTGTTACGTTCTAGCCTGCTCAAGAGGTAAATCAGCCATCTTCTGCTGACAAGGCGACTGCCATAAGCCTTCGCATGTCAAACACAGTCCTGGACACTTTCTTGATTGACTTGATTCTCGGCCTTTGTGATCCAAACTTAGCTTCACGTTCGCCTAGTACCCACTCTGCTACCTAGGTGAAGCTATATCTCATGTATATCCTTCACGTAAGATGCTAATTTGGTGATCAGTTTGAGCGAATTTATACATGTGGTGCTTACATTCTATATCTATGCCTGCATGTTTGAGCCTCCCACCTACACGAAGCAGCCCGGTCTGAGCCCCCACAGGTTTAGCTCCTCAGCGAACTCACCTGTTTAGCGTATCATCTCTCGTGATTGAGTTAATTCCTTCTCGTAGAGTTGCCACTGCACTGTGCTTCCACTATAATTCGCTCTGACTTGACCCATTTCATCAACGCTTATGGATCTCCGAATTTAGCTTGACTTTGCCTCTTTAGCTTATCCTTTATCCTGATCCACCGAACCAACTAGAGCCTCTTAAGCCTATCCAGCTAGAGTAATGATGCGATGAGCCTATCTAGCGGGCTTTCCCTCATCTCGGGTAGCGCGAGGTTATCTTTTCTCACAGACTTGAGGCAAACGACTGGCTTCTTTCGTTTTTGGCGTCATGCTTCACCTCTGCGATCATGCAGATGATACCTCACCGTCTATCGTTGCATATTTCCACTCAGCTTTATACGTTTTTAACATGCTAACGCCTTCAAACCACTTTCCGGTGTCCAGTCGCCTCTCCTCTTGTTATTACATCAGCCGGAATATCTTCACTCGCAATATAATACCATTGATCAGGTTCTGTCAGCTGTCGGATTGTACTGATCCTGTTGCCTACGAATACTTGGAACCTCCGCGCTTCATTCTTAATGTATTTCAAAACCAGTTCACTGTCAGTCCAAAAATATGACTTGGTTATGCAGAGCTCCAACTCTCGCCTCAATAGACAGTCCACCTTCGCTGATAACACTGCAGCTTGCAGCTCCAAGCGTGGGATCGTAAGTTGTTTTATCGTCGCCACCCTACCTTTGCTCATTACTAAGGTGGTGTGTATTCTGCCTTGCTTACTTATACATCTCATATAAGTACAACGTCCGTACGCTTTCTCACTGGCGTCACTGAAGTGATGTAGTTCACATACTGCGTCACGTGATTCGGTCGGCATGATACATCTTGCTACGCTTATAAGTCTCAGGTCTAGTAGTGTTCCCTGCCATATTTCCCATTTCCTACCGAGATCTATGGGCACTTCATCATCCCACGATAGCTTCAGTCTCGTGGCTTCCTGGAAGAGGATTTTTCCTGTTATCACTATAGGACTAATCAGGCCCAGAGGGTCAAACACTGACGATATCAGGCTTAACATGCGGCGTCTCGTCACCACGCCGCCTTGTTTTTCCTTTACCTCAAAAACAAACTCATCGGTCTCAATGTTCCACTTAATCCCTAACGCTTTACTCTCTGCACTAGGGCACAAGTCCTTTACTTCATTTGCTCGATCACTCACCGGTATGCTCGCGAGAAGGTCTCGACTGTTCACCACGAACTTCGTTAATCTAAATCCGCCCTTCTGTAGCAGGTCTCGTGTTCCTCTTATAATTATTTGGGCTTCAGCTTTCGTTTCGACTGACTTGAGGCAGTCGTCGACGTAGAACGATCTAGTTACTGTGTCACTTACCGCAGGGTCGACATCTCCATGGTCCTTTACCGTGCGTCGCAAAGCGTATGTCGAACTGCTGGCGCACCATACTCCCCAAAATACGTGTGAGGTCATGCGATAATGGATCACGTCTCTTGCACCATCACGCCACAAGAACCGTAGGGCATCTCTATCATATGATGGGATCTTGACTTGATGATACATAGCTTCTATGTCGGCCATGATTGCATACGCGTGCTGCCGAAATCTAATAATGATATATAGTAACTTGTTGTTTAGATCAGGTCCTTGTAAACATTTATCATTTAACGACTCCCCATCATACTTGGCTGCACAGTCGAATACTACCCTGAGTTTGCCAGGTTTTTTTATCTGTGATGACACCGTGATGTGGAAGGTACCATATCTTCTTACCCGGCTGGGAGACTTCACGTTGAGGAACCTTTTCGGCATAGCCCGCTGCAAGCAGTTTGCTTAACTCGGTGTCATACCTCTCCATTAAACCCTTCTTTTGCAGGTTCCTGCAGAGGGATGTCAATCTAGCGCTTGCAAGGCTAACGTTATTTGGCATGACTGCACTCGCATCCTTCCATGGAATCGGTAACTCATAGTGACCTTCAATAATCTTTGCTTCATGATTCCACAGATCCAAGACTCTGCTATCCTCTTGTGACATAGCAACTTCGTCAGTCATACCCTCGTTCTCAATTGTCCACAGCTTCATTACTTGGCTTTCCAGAGATGCCATGCTGCGCTTTGTTGTGATAAAGTTGGACGCCACTCTTGTGTTAACAGGGCTCTGATAACGTTCTGTCCTACCGTTGAGGCTCCAACCAAACAATGTGCGCGTGGCAAAGGGTTCCCCTCGTTTCCCTTTACGCACCTGCAGGGGAATCAACGCTTCAGCGTGATCCTGCCCAATCAGAATGTCTACACTCTGATTTTTACCCATATCAATAGATGCGACGCTCAGATCCTTCAAGTGGGGGTATCCCTGAATGTCGATATATGCGTTCGTAATCGGAATATCATCCAACACACACACATTGTACAATGGTAGGGTCTCACCATTGTTACTCAATTTCATGTTCACCATCTGTAATTCTCGACTCACGGAGCTATTTAGCGTATCCAACGTGATTTTCTCAATCCCGCCTCGGATCTCGAGACGGTTCACTAGGCGTTTAGTGCAAAACGTATGACTCGATGCTGTGTCAAGCAAAGCGTATGTAATACACGATTCATTCACGCAAACCCGCACAATAGGCATGATGGTGTCTCTTGCTATACTGGCATTTGATACCACATAGCCACCCCTTACATCACGATTGGAAACCACATCACCGCCCTTCCGATCATTACCATTCATATCTCCATTCACCTTGTCAGAGTGCAACAACCATGAATGCCTCATAAAGCACCTGCTGCATCTATACGGGCACCTACACTCCCTTTTAAAATGACCACCTATCAAACATACTTCGCAAAGCTTATGCGATTTTACAATGCTCCGACGCTTCTCCAGTTCTGATCCTTTGAAGGCATTGCAGAAAATGAGCCGATGATCTCCACCACAGCAAACGCAAGGAGGTCTCTTATAGCCGCTGCTCGTGGCAAAGGTGACTGCTTGATTCTTCACTCTACTCCTAGCGGCATTCTCTTGCCCACCCTTGCTCGATGGCTTGAACTCTTTATGTCCATAGACAGGGTCATTAGCTGTTGTTGCCTCTTCACTAACGAATTCCACTAGATGTACAAATCTAGGGTACCTGCCTTGTTGTCTTTTAATTTCCATAGCCTTACTTCTCCATCTAAACTTGATGTAAGGCTGCAAACGTTCTACTATCTCCTTCATGCAGCTCTGCGAGTCGACTTCATGTAGCATCCCCATCTGCTCTAGAGTAATGTGGCAGTCTGCCAAATCATCGGCCAATCGTTGAAGCTGAGCGGGGGTTTTTACTGCGTCACCGAGCCTAACCGCCTTGATGACTGCTTCAGACACCAAATGTTCATCGCCAAAACGGGTGTGCAGTAAAGCTCTCGCTTGGACATAGCCCTCCGCTGCGTCCAGTTTGGCACATCTCGCGATTACCTTTTCCGCCGCACCGGTTGTGTACTGGAGAAGCCGTATAAGTTTACCTGCGGGTCATCTGTCACTTTATCCACACAGTCATCAAATACTTTCACGAATGCGTGATACTTCACGGGATCACCATCAAAAGGCTTGAGCTCAACTTTTGCCAGATTCATATAGCTTAACCTCTTGAGCGCTGCATAAAATAATAAGTGCGTACAGGTATTGCACTTAAAATAAAAATAAATTAATAAATTCACGTATTCGTTTGTTTTCATTTTTGATTGACTTTGTCTTTCATCTTAGATACCACAAACTATACATTTCCAAAAAGCTTATTATCAGCAGAATATTATAAAGGTGAAATAAACCATTTTTGCTATGTTTGGTGGGGTCTGAGTTAACCCCTTTCCTACCAAAGGCGAATGTCACTTTTTCCAATGAAATGAATTTCACTTAGAAAGTATTGGCAATGTGTCAAAAAGCCTATTCAAGTCACCCAAAATTGTGTAGAAGACAGTCCATTGTCTCTCCTAACAGGAAAAAAGGCCAAAGCCCTAATTTCTAGGCCTTTTGTGATAGTCTGCATAACACTGTGGACATAGTCCTACATTGCAATCTTGGCACTCCCAACCGGAGCGAACCCTGGAGTCATGATTGCCCATACACTTTCTCTTTTTGCCAATAGGAAGTTTCACCAACCTATGTATTGCCTCATTTGCAGTGTTGTGAGTAGGTCCCTGAACAACTTGGGGCAGGGGTTGAATTCTGGCTGCTTCAATTTCTGCTGCAGACCTCCGACGCACAACTTTATGCGGGGAGTGGAAGTCACTGGCAAGACTTTCAACCACTGCAACCATGTAAAAGTACCTAGTTAGCTTTGGATTGTCACTTGTGTTCTGTTCATAGATCAGATAGCTGTTCAGCATTGCTCTGCCAAACAATGAGAATACTGCTTTTGTTGTCCATTTGAGTGTTCTCCTCTCGGCCAAATAGCAGTACAACTTGGAATCACTCATGTCTACACCACCCATTGCTTTGTTGTATGTTACAACAATATTTGGTTTCTGAACAGCTTCATCCCTTCTATTTTTAACTTCAGTGAAACCTCCTTTGGCAACTGTAGAGAGAAGTATGGGCTTTTTGCTTCCATCTTTGTATGCTACACACAACAAAGGACGCTTTCTACGTTCACAGACTTCATGGTTTCTCAAGCGTGACTGAACACAAACTCGAGGCAGTCCTCTCCTGTTGACACGTACAGTTCCTGTTGCAGTTGTCTGCTCTGCATATAAATCCTGAAAAAGCGGGGGGGAAGAAAAGTAATTATCTAATCCTAAGTGATGACCACGATTTAGTAAGTCACTATTTCTCATGAGACGCATCACAAGGTTGTAAGTTACACCGTGTCCTTCCCGGTCTTCTGCGCTTGTACCCTTGAAAATCTCAAATGTACTGGTGTAACCATTCTGGCTCTCAGACAAGCACCAAACTTTCAAACCAAAACGTGCATGGTGTTTGTTTGGCATGTATTGACGAAGATGTGGAGTTTTACCCTTGTAACCAATCATGCTCTCATCAATGGAAATGTTTTTCCTGGGATGATAGTAGAATAAAAACACTTCCTGAAAATGGTCAATCACTGGTTTAATTTTATAGAGTTTGTAGTCAGGGTCTCCCATGGCTGGCATGTTTGTATTGTCATTGAAATGCAGAAATTTCAATAGTAGCTGAAATCGATCACGGGAAAAATGCTGAATAAACCAAGGAGTATGTTGACTCGGGTGGCTGGAGTCCCAGTAAGCCTTCAAATTTGGTTTGTTGACCAAGCCCATATTGACAACAACACCCAGGAAATCATTAAATTCCTCAGGAGTAGTGAGGCCCTGTTTGATCCAGTAGTGAACCCTGGACCTAGGTTTATCACTCAAGTACTGCTGGTGATTGGCCACCCATTGATCCGCATAACGGTTGGTTTCTCTCACCATGTGGTTTACGAAACGATCCGGAAAAAATAATTTCACATAGTCAATAGGCTTTGAATCTCGTGCTGGAGCGTGCTTAGGTCCTGGATTAGCTGTAAATGCAACTGGATCTGTGCCAGGATCATCACCAATCACAGGAAGCCATAAACCGTGAATAACAGGAACACCTCCATCGTCACCACTGTCGTCAGACTGACTGTCGCCACCCTCCCTTTCATCACCCCCAGAACCTGAAAATTAAAG